AAAACCTACACCAAACATTCCACTTTTTTTTTTAAAATAGTGTTTTAGGGCCAGGGATTTAGCTCAGTAGTTCCGCCACCTGCCTTGCAAGCGCAAGGACCCAAGTTCAATCCCCGATACCAAAAATAAAAAAATAGTGTTTTATTAACTACCACACTATTATAATACACTTTAAAGTACAATAAGGTAGCCTTTAAATTTGAGGTGGTCTTAAAGATAACAAATGAACAGAATTCCAAATTTTTGAAATAGGTGAACTGCTACAGTTATAGGTATACATTTTAGAAAACTGTAATAACTCTTAAAAGACCAGCAATGTAAATTTATTTTATACATTTTTAATTGAAAATATAAACAATAATTTAAAAATAAGAAGAAAATACAGCATAATAAAAAACATATTTTCTCAATCCAGTGTATTGGATACATATAAATTTTAAGGGAAAAGCAAAAAAAGGAAAATGGTTGATATTTAAGTATAGACTGACTACCTGGACCAAAAAAAAAGACTTAAAAACTATGATAAAATCTCTAGTTTTCTATGACTGATATCCATATGGTTGGAATATTGTCACTATGGAAGTGTTATGTTATGTTTGCATATGCCAGCCATTCTACTTAATGGTAAAACCTGAAAGTTTTTCCTCTGAGATCAGAAACAAGGAAAGATGCCTACTCTCACCACTTTTACTCAACATAATACCGGAAGCTGTAAGCAGAGCAATTAGGCAAGAAAAAAAAAGAGATAATAAGCACTGAAACTATAAAGGAAGAAGTAAAATGATCTCCATTCACAGATGATATAATTTTATGTGTAAGTAAACCTGAAAGATTCCTCAAAAAATTGTTGAAACTAAGAAGTGAATTTAGTAAAGTAACAGGAGATAAAAATCAACACACAAAAATTAGTTGCCTTTCTACACACTAACAATGAACAATCTGAAACACAAATTATAAGAATAGTCTACAGCCATACCACCCTGAACACAACCGATCTTGTCTGATCTCAGAAGCTAAGCAGGGTAGGGCTTGGTTAGTACTTGGATGGGAGAAATTATAAGGACAATTCCATTTATTTTTATTTTTACTTTTATTTATTTTTTCTTTTTTTGGTACCAGGGATCAAACTCGGGACCTTGTACTTGCAAAGCAGGCAGCAGAAACACTGAGCTAAATCCCCGGCCTGCGACAATTCCATTTATAATGGCATCAAAAAGAATAAGATACTCAGAAATTAACTAAGAAGGCAAAAGATTTGTACAATGAAAACTACAAAGCATTGCTGAAAGAAATTAAAGCTGGACACGGTGGTAAATCCCCATAATCCCAGCACTCTGGGAGGCTGAGGAAGGAGGGTCGCAAATCCAAGTTCAGCCTGGGCAATTTAGCAAGACCCTGATTCAAAAATAAAAAAAGACTGGAATGTAGCTCAGTGAAAAGGCCCTGGGTTCAGTCCCTATTACCACAAAAGGAAGGAAGGAAAGAAGGAAAGAGGGGTCAGGGATGGTATCTCATGCTTATAACCCCAGCACTTGGAAGGTTGAGGCAGAAGGATCTCCAAAAATTTGAGGCCAACCTGGGCTACACAGTGAGTTCAAGGCCAGATAGAACTACAGAGCAAAACCCTACCTGGAAAAGAAAAACAAAAAGGAAGGAAGAGAGGAAGGAAGGAAAGAAGGAATTAAACAAGACATAAGTAAGTGGAAATACATCCCATGTTCATAGATTAGACAACTAATATCATTAAGATGTCACTAACACTCAGAACAATCTATATAGACTCAATATCCCTTCAAACTCCTAAGAGCTTTTTCTGCTGAAACAGGAAAAAACATCCTAGAATGCATGAGGAATCTCAAGGAATTCTGAAGAGTCAAAACAATCCTGAAAAGGAAGAAAGCTAGGGTATTCACATTTCTCAACTTCAAAACTTATTACAAAGCTACAGTAATCAAAACAGTTGGTACTGAAATTAAGTCAGATATAGAGAAATGGAATAGAACATAAAGCCCAGAAATACACACAGTCAAATGATCATTGACAAAGGTAATACAACCATTCATGTTAATCCATTTTCTGTTGCTATAACTGGAAAATTTATAAAGAATAAAGGGCTATTCAGATCACTGTTTTGGTCCTGTGGGGTCCAGGGTTAGAGGACCTTGTCACCAGTTGGAACTCCACAGAGTACCAGGGTAGCACAGAAAATCACATGGCAAAAGGAACACATCCAAAAGAGCCAAACTGACTTTTCTTTTTTTTTTTTTGGTACTGGGGATCGAACTCAGGACCTTGAGCTTACGAGGCAGGTGGTGGAAACACTGAGCTACATCCCTGGCCCCCAAATTGGCTTTTGTAACAAACTGGTTCTCAAGCCAGCAACCCATTAATCCATGAATGGACCAATCCATTTCTGAGGGCAGAACACTCCTGACCTAACTACCTCTAGGCCCTACCAAGTCCCATCACTTAATACCTCACATGGGGATTAAATTTTAACATGAGTTTTGGTGGGGACATTCCAACCATAACACCATTCAATAAAGAGAGAAGAGTCTTTTCATTAAATGGTGCTGAGAAGACTGGATAGCCACATACAAAACAATGAAGTTGGAGCCTTTCTAAACACCATATACAAATCAATTTGAATGAAAGACCTGAAAAAGTCAAAAATTATAAAACCTCAGAAGAAAAAATAAAGCAGAATCTACATAAATTCGATTTGATGATGATTTCTTGGCTATGACACCAAAGGCATAGGGTAACTAAATAAAAAATAGACAAATTAAGCTTTATAAAAATTAAGAAATTTGTGTACCAAAAGACAACATCCACAGAGTAAAAAGGCAATCAATCCACAGGGCCGGGGATTTAGCTCAGTGGTGCCAGCGCCTTCCTTGAAAGTGCAAGGTCCTGAATTCGATCCCCGGTACCAAAAAAAAAGAAAAAAAAAAAGGCAATCCACAGAAAGGGAGAAAATACTTCCAGTCATATATTTGATAAAGGATTGATATCCAAAATATATACAGAACTCCTAAAACTCAACAACAAAAATAACAATCCACATAGAAGTGGGTAAAGGATTAGAACAGACAATTCTCCAAAGAAGATATGCAAATTGCCTTGAAAATGCTCAGCATTAGAGCTGAGGATGCAAGTCTGTGGGACATGCTTGTCTAGTGTGTGTGAGGCCCTGGGTTTGATCCCTGGCACCACAAAAAATAAAAAAATAAATAAAGAGGAAGGGGGGCGGGGGGAGAAGGAAGAAAAGAAAAATAAAAATGTGTTTCTCTGCTTCCCACCTGCCATGAGGGGAAGAGCTGCTCCTTCCCACGTCCCTGTGCTATGTCTGCCACCCTGCCTTGTTGCCAGCGAACTACAGACTGAAACCCATGCAAAGCAGAGGACCACTCTGTAAGTAGAGTGACCTTTCTCCTGTTGCCCCTCCTAGAGCCCTCGCTTGGAAGAACCCTGTGTGAAGAGCATAGCTGTGATCCAGCTGCCTTGGGACAGCAGCCACCAGACTCACAACTCCAGGAGAAACAACAGCAACCAAGGAAGCAGCAGCTCTTTCTGCAAACTGCCATATGAATACGTCAGAGGCCTCCCTGTTGAAGACATCACAGCCCTATGAACCTTAAAAGTTATCTGCTTATTCCATACCCTAGTCCTTTCCTTCTATTGCAGTTGCAAATAGGTCCTCAGCACCCAGGAATACTGGCTCACTCTAAATATATCTGTAACTCTTGTATTATTGTCATAACCATTTATAATAAAAGAATTTCCTGCCACTGAGTGTGTTCACCCATCAAGAAATGGGAAAAGGGGGCTGGAGATTTAGCTCAGTGGTTCCAATGCCTGCCTCGCAAGTGCAAGGACCCGAGTTCATTCCCTGGTACCAAAAAAAATAAACAAATAAAGTTGAAAAAAAGAAAAAGAAAAAATGCTCAACATCATTAATGATTATGAAAATGCACATTAACGCTACAGTGATATAACATCTCCCACCCTTTAGGATAGCTCCTATCCAAAAAAACAAACAAATAGAAAATAACAAGCATTAGTGAGAATGTGAATAAAATGAACTGCTGTGCAGTGCTGATGGGACTATAAAATAGGACAGCTGCTGTGCTGCTGTTGGCAAATGATGTGGTGGCTTCTCAAAAAGTTAAACACAGAACTACCATTTGACCCAGCAATTCCACTCCTTGGTATATATCCCAAAGAACTGAAAACAGGTACTCAAATACCGGTACACAAATGTTCATAGCAATACCCAAGAAATGAAAACAACACAAATGTCCACCGATGGATGAATGGACAAACCATCTGTGGAATATATTACAATGGGATAATCAGCCATAAAAACAAAGTAAGTATGAATACATGCTATAGGATGAATCTTAAAAACACATTCAGTGAAAGAAGCCAGACATAAAAGGTCACATATTGTATGACTCCATTCATATGTATGACTCCATATTTATATCTAGGACAGGTAAATCCATAGAGACAGAAACACACTGGTAGTTGTCAGGGGTTGAGTGAAGGAGGAAATGGGAAATGACCGCTTAATGAGTAAAGGATTTCCTTTAGGCTGATGAAAATGTCTGGAATTAAGTAAGAAGTGACAGTTGTACACATTTGTGAATGTACTAAACACATATAATTGTTTACTTTAAGAAATTTTATTTTATGTCATGCAAATTTCATCTTTTAAAAATTGGGTGAATCATACCACAGTGATATATGTGCACCCATGTTCATAGCGGCACAGTTTGTAATAGCTAAAACTTGGAAGTAGCCCAAGTGCCCATCAACTGGAAACTGGATAAAGAAAATGTGCTTTTTTTTATAAAATGGAGTACTACTCAGCCATAAAGAATGAAAAACTAGAGTCATTTATAGCTAAATGGATGCATATCAAGGCCATATTCTTAACTGAAATAAATAGGACACACATGTGTAAATACTGAATAGTTTCTCTAGTGTGAGAAACTGATAGTGTAAACAAGAGTTAAAATGATTAAAATGCTGCCTTTTTTTTTGTACCGGGGATCGAACTCCGGTCCTTGCACTTGTGCAGCAGGCAGCGAAACCACTGAGCTAAATCCCCGGCCCTGAAAATGATTAAAATGAATAATTGATAATTTGAAATAGGAAAAAAGGTCCAAAGACGAAGGAGTGAAGGGAGGGGAAGGGGAAAGGAAAAGAGGGAAAGGAAAAACTATGAGAAAAGAAAAAAAAAAACGGAAATGAAATCTATGTAAATAGGGAAGGGTGGAGGGGGTGAAGGGCACACAGGTAATGGGGAAAAAAATAAGAACCAAGATATATCATGTACAGGTAAAACACCCAATGATAAATGTAAACAAATTGTATACCTAAAATGTACCAATAAAATGTACCAATAAAATTAATTTAAAAAAAAATCTAAGCCAGGGATTTAGCTCTGGTGCTGCCACCTGCCTCACAAGTGCAAGGTCCCAAGTTTGATGCCCAGTACCAAATAAATAAATAAATAATAAATAAAAATCTAAGAAGTTATTACAACACTGATTTCATGAACAATTTTATAGTCCACTGTGGACAAAGTCAACTTAAAGGAATTACCTGCACTAGTATTCTTTCTTTAGAATATAGGATTAATTGTACAACAAAATCTCTAGTAACTATTTCCCCATAAATAACTTGCCTTTTAAAATACAGTTGCTAAATCATTACCCTTTAAAAAGAAACATACCATTATTGCCTGGGAGCCCTCAGAAGAGTATGGTTGCGCGTGGACTGCTTCATGATTTGATTCTGTCTTTCTGGGAGCCACTATGGCAAAAGACTTGGATTTGGAGTCACCATTTTTAATGTTAGTTTTGGAGGTTTTTCTTTATGAAGAGAAGAATTCAAGGTTATTATCAATACAGTGAAGAGTAAGGAGTTTTAATGCATATATGAAAATGTGTGTATATATTACACTTTCCTATAAAACTACAACATTTATAGAAAATGGTCTTAAAAATCTGGAGAGTATTTTGTGAAACACCTGACCAGTACTCTTCAAAACAATCAAGGTCATAAAAACAGAATGAAAAACTATCACAGACCCAAAGAGACTACGGAGGTATGAGGTAATATGATAACTTGTACTGAATACTAGAACAGAAAAAAGACATTACAGGAAAAACTACCAAAAGCCAAATAAGGTCTGGAGTTTAGTCAACGGTAACATACCAATGTTGGTTGCTTTCTTAGTTTTGACAAATGTACCACAGTAACATAAGATGCTAAACATGGAAGTAGGTAAGGGGTATACAGATACTCTCTGTACTATCTTTGCAACTTTTCTGTAATGCAAAATTGTTGCAACATAAAAATGCTATGAGAGGGACCGGGGATTTAGCTCAGTGGTTCCACTGCCTGCCTCGAAAGAGCAAGGACCCAAGTTCGATCCCCGGTACCAATTAAAAAAAAAAAAAAAAGCTATGAGAAAGTGCCTCATGTACAGAAGAACCAGCACAAGTTTCATCTTCAAGTTTCACATATTTGCAATAATGCTACAAGTAATATGCCAAGTTTGACAGCAAAATTGTCTGGTATACATTTTCTCACTTGCAGAATAAATGCACACGGGAATAATATCAAACGCCAACTGTTTTAGAGTGTTATTTGTAAAACTGGGCTAAACCTCTGGAGAATTTAAAGAGAGTGTGGAGATTAGAGCACTGGAAAGCCTGGTTGGTTAGAATTTACAGATAATGTGAACAAAAAGATGGTCTCCATTCCCGGGGGCCTCTCTAGCACTGGCCTATCTCCTTGCACATTGAACTTGCCACAAGGAAACAAGGAAGACAGAGCACTCCAAGAGATGCTGACAGTCTCGACTAGCCCTATGTCTCAGCTCCAACACCCACTTAGAGAATGCAGAACCTGAAAGTTGAAAAATTGTGTGAATCAAGAGGGAAACTTGTAAATGCTCTCAGAAATTTGAATGCTATTTTTATATGTGATTATTTTTATACATAGTAAATAATGTAATAGTGGTTCGCTAAACAGTGCTCTAGATTTCTCATTTTAGCAATTAAGCAAATTTCAGTATGTCTCTGAAAAGTGCCAGAATATGCCACCCCAAACATGCTGCTCTGGCATAAAGATTAAAAAACAGCAGGTACAAGAAGTGTGCTCTAACCCTCCTTTATTTTCCCGAAACTGAGATAAAACCCTGTGTGGAAGATGTTCTCCCTGTATCAGAAGGCAAGTAACATTCTTGTCATCAAAAATGGAAAGTTGGGACTGAAAGAATTCTGTACAGACAGACCATATTAAAAATCATTCTGGGCCAGGGATTTAGCTCAGAGGTTTCGCCGCCTGCTGCGCAAGCTCAAGGACCCAAGTTTGATCTCCGGTACCAGAAAAAAAAAAAAAAAAAAAAAAAAAATCATTCTGAGGGGCCGGAGATTTAGCTCAGTGGCTCCAACACCTGCCTCGCAAGCGCAAGATCCAGAGTTCAATCCCCGGTACCAAAAAAAAAAATCATTCTGATCTTCCTTGAGCCTCTCCACATAGTCTAGTTACTTTTTCACACTTGCTTTTCTTGTCCAATCTAGTATAAAAGCTACAGGTTTCACCACTTCTTTGGGTCTTCTCCTCCTTAGGAGGGTTCTTAGGTCAAATAAAACTTTTATTAGACAAACCTGTATGCTTTTCTCCTCTTAATTTGTCTTATGTCAGTTTCATTCTCAGGCCCAGGCTTAGAAAAAGAACCCAAAGAGGGTAAAATTTTCCCTCCTCTTTATATTCTAATCACAGTTTACTTCATGTTAAAAAAAAAACAAACTCACCATAAATTCTTGCATATGAAAATTATAGAAGCCACCCTCTTTTACTCCATCTATTTAGCCCAGCTATTTTCAAGGAAGTATCTTACGCCTTTGTGGCCTCCAAAAACAAGGAAATTTGGTGTTTTATATAAGGCAGCCGCAGGATGCTCCTCACAGAAGGTCTTTCTTCAGGCCTTTTGCTCAGCATTGTTTTTATCAGTTCTGCCAGCTCTGGGCTATAAGCTCTTGGCATTGGTGGTAGCTACAAAGAAAAATAATCCTGCAATTATGACTAATGATCTTATGAAACAAAGTAAAAAAACAAGGTATGAGATGGTTTTCCAATATTTATTAAAGTCATATATCCACAGAAGTAGAAAATAATCAGCATATTAGTCTATAGAAACCATTCTGGTATTGTTTGAAATAACACATTGTAAGACTGTAAAAGTATTTCCCTCAACCCAGCAGTCCTATTAGAGGGCTAGCTCCCTCTTTCAGAATAGCAAGAGTTTCTAAAGCTTCATATACCAGGATGTTCGATGCAATATTTTTCTTGCAGTAGTCAAAAATTGGAAATAATTTAAATGACTATCCACTTGCATTAAATTAAGGTAACTTACTCCACAGAATAATTATGGCACATCCTTCGTGCGTGTGGATGTGTGTGTTACTGAGGACAGGCTCACTAAGCCACTAAGTTGCTTCACCTGGGCTCGAACTTGCAATCTTTCTGCCTCAGCATTCCAGAGTGCTAGATTACAGGTGTGGTACACTCTTCTTAAAGAATACTACGCAGTTGCTTTAAAAATAAAAGACATCCCCCCCCAGAAATATAGCAATATAGCAAGTCGAAAAAGTAAGTTATGCACCACTACAACAGCCTAATTCCATTTCAGTTTTGGGTTTTGTTTTTTTCCAGTACCTGGGACTGAACTCAGGACTTTGCGCTTGCCAGGCAGGCATGGCACCACTGAGCTACATCCCTGGCCCTGTTTCTTTTTTAAAAAGCATCTCTGTGTATATGTACATATATCCACCCAGAATCATGTCTGTGTACAGGCAGGTAAAATCTAAGAGGTCTCACAATAAATTGCCACCAATGGTTATCTCTAAGGGATGGAGAGGGAAGTTTCACTCCTTTCTTATGTGATTCTTTAAGTAGTAGAATTATGGGCAAATTTTACTTTTTTATACACACACACACACACACACACACACACACCCACACACACCCCCTAATGGTGCCTAGATGCCTGACACTGCAAAAGGGCAACTGGCCTCACAGAAATAACACAGTCATCCACTCTGGCATCTGTATTATTCACAATGCTTTCTGCAGTTCTCTACCCCCCACCCCACTCCTGGGGACTGCACCCAGGGCCTTCACGCTAAACTATATCCCCAGCCCTTTTTTATTTTTTGAGATAGGGTTTCACTACTTTGCCCAGGCTGGGCTCAAACTTGCAATCCTCCTGCTTCAGCCTCCCAAAGTATTGGGATCACAGATGTGAGCCACCACACCTGGCTTACAGTTCTTAATCACTTCCTGGTGATCATGATAATTATCAAAGGAAAAAGTTAAAACATGGTGGACTCATCATCAAGATAGCTCATTCACCAATCAGCATCTCAGGAAAAGATACCAATACCATCTCAGAGCACTTGAACCTCTTGTGGCTACAGGAACAGGTTTTCAAAAGCTGATTCTTTTGAGCCATTAAGCCATCTTTACAAATTAATATTAAGAAACGATGAATCTCATCTCCTCAAATTCAACCCTTCTCACTCAGGCAACCCATCACTCTTTTTTTGTTTGTTTGTTTGAGACAGGGTCTCACTATGTAGCTCAGGTTGGCCATGAACTCACTATGTACCCCACGGTGATCTTCCTGCCTCAGCCTCCCAAGTGCTGGGATTGCAGACATGCACCACCAAATCCAGCAGGCAACCCACCACTTTTAACTATTTAGCCAATATTAATGATTACTCTTCAATTAATCTAAATAATGATTTTGCCAGTAGCTATTTGCAAAGATGCATTATATAAATCTTACTCAATTAATTCCAGATAATTTTTACCTTTCCTTCAATAATCCGATAAACTAAAGAATTCATGTCTTTTGCATTGAAGGCATGTTTCAGAGTGGCCATTTCATAGACACAGCATCCCAAAGCCCAAACATCAGACTAGAAAAGAAAAATAGTAAATGGTGAAATGTTTAAGTAAGTACCTTACTTACATTTTCCCCCTTTAACAACAACAACAAAGCTGTTTTCCCTTAACTGAGCCACAGATAGTTGTGATTTAACTATTCTGAAAGGTTCTGAAATTCGGAATACTCTGCTAAAGACACAGGAAGCCACCATACACAGCCCAGTCCTACCTTGTAGTTGTAGGGTTTGTTTGAGAATAGTTCAGGGCTCATGTAATAGGGTGTGCCAATGAGGGTGCTTGCCATGTCGCAGTGGTTCTCCAGCACTCGGGCAATTCCTAGGTCACCCACTTTGATGATATGTGTTCTTGTTAGGAAGACATTCTGAGTTTTCAAATCTCGATGAAGGATATGTTTTTCATGCAAATACTGAAGAGAAGAAATAAAATTTCATTACATATACACTGATTTACTTATTCCTAGATTCTTTTTTTTCTTTTTCTTTTTCTTTGGTACTGGGGATCGAACTCAGGACCTTGTGCTTGAGAGGCAGGCAGTGGAAACACTGAGCTAAAACCCCGGCCCTAGCTTCTTAATATCATCAGAGATTGCATGAGTTAAAGAGCTTCAGTTACCTAACTACTAAAACATTATTGGTTTATAAACTCTAAAGTAAAAGGTCTACCCTAGGCACGGTGGCAGAAGCCTGTAATTCCAGCATCTGGAGGCTGAGGCAGGAGGATTACAGTGAATTCAAGGCCAGCCTGGGCTACATAGTGAGTTCTAGATCAGCCTGAACTACATAGCAAGACCCTGTCTCAAAAACAAAAACAGGGCCAGGGATTTAGCTCAGTGGTTTCGCTGCCTGCTTCGCAAGTGTAAAGACCCAAGTTCGATCCCTGGTACCAAAAAAAACCAAAAACAAAGTAAAAGGTCTAACACAATTTTCAAAGCAAGAAAATGAAAATCTATACATTAATTAGCCCAGTATCTTCCAAAATTGCTTCCTGGTGCCTAGGCAATTATATCATTGTAATATTACCTGAATCTAGTCTTAAAATACGCTTACAAACTCCCACTGAAGGTAGGACAACTTAAACAACATCAGATGCACACTCCTTTCCCATGAAATCCTGAGCTTAATAACATTTTCAAGTACAGTATACCAAGATCATTTTTACTTATTCATTTATGTGTTCGGTTTTTGGGACAGAGTCTCAATATGCAGTCTGGGCTAACCTCGAACTTAACTATGATCCTTCTGCCTCAGTCTCCCAACTGCTGGGTGTGCACCACCATGCCTTGCTCCTAAGATCTTTCTTTTGAGACAGGGTCTCGAAATGTAGTTCTGACTGGCCTCGGACTTGCAGCAATCCTCCTGCCTCAGCCACCCAAGTGCTAGGATTATAGATGTGCGGCACCACGCCTGGCTAGATCATTTTTATTTAAAGAATATCTCAGAATTTAAACAAAAAGGCCAACTGATTCTAGACAAGTCTACCCAGTTACTGAATAGCAGTTAGTACACAGTCTCACTTTGGTGTGCGTGGCTATCAAAGCACACACTTGTTTTGTGTTTCCACCCACTCTGCCACGGTAGGATAAAATCCCAAATCCTCAAAGTTTAGAAGCATTAGTTAACCCAGCCACTTTTCAGCAGGACACAGCCAACCAGCTGATAACAAACACGTCTTTGCTCTTTGTCAACTTAGGGAACTTAAAATTGACTTCACTATAAATATTAAGTGAATTTAAAAATTTCCTTTTCTTGAATTAGACAGGAAATCTGTGTCTAACACAGATACCATGCAGAAACATTCAAATGCTACACCAAGAACTGTGTCCACTTCATAAATGAATCTTCCAAAAACTACATTTTTTTTCTCTTTTTGGTTTTTTGAGACAGTGTCTTGCACGTAGCTAAGGCTGGCCTTGAACTCTGTATGTAATACAGGCTGGCCTCAAACTCCAATTTTCCTGCCTCAGCATCTCAAATGCTAGGATTCTTGCATGCACCACCTTGCCTCGTGTAAGCATTAGGAAAATATTTTCCTAAAATACATCTGCCATCTTCCTGCTTTGTAGCAAGTAGTATACTGTGTGCAGACAGTACCTGCAAAGCCATGGCAATCTGTACAAACCACTCTACCACTTGACGCTCAGGCAGAAGCTGCCCTTTCTGGTCCTTGAGCTTCCGGTATAGATCACCTCCTTCACAGAAGCCCATGACGATGTAAAGCAGGCCATCTCCTCCCTCCCATGACTCCTTGTAAGTGACAATGTTGGGGTGCTTCAGCTGAGACAAGAGCTGAGCTTCCTGTTCTGCAGCTCGCCGCTCTCGGCTGGATGCGTTTCGGAGGTTCAGTTTTTTGATGACATACTAACAAAGAAAACATATATTTTATTAAGAAAACATACAGTTTTGTAGGTTCCTAAGTATCTAAAAGCTCTCGAGAATGTCCTCAAAATCAACCTTCTAGAGCCTGTTAGATAGATAATGTGTTCATTTTGTTCTTAAGAAGCATAGAACTGGGGAAAATACTTGCTAACACTAATGATGCTTTTTGTAATAGAGATTTATGGCCAACTGAGGTCACAAAAAATTATCCTTTCCACCTGCATTTTAGTTCCTTTGAGGCAGAGGCCTGTAGTCTCAGCTGCTTTGGAGACAGAGGCAGGAAGATCACTTGAGCCTCGGAACTCAAGCTAGCCTGTAAAACATAGCAGGACACTGTTTTAAAACAAAACAACAAAACACATTTGCATTAATAGCTAAAGACTGAATCTGAGCTCACATACCATTAGATCAATCATAAAATCTGGAACTGTGGATATAACTCAGTGGTAGGGCAGTTGCCTAGATGCACAAAGCCTTGGGTTCAATCCCCAGTACCCCCCCCCCACACAAATTGTGTTAGAGATTCCTTAAACTCTTAAATTCTTACACAGGTGCATAAAAATGTGGCTTAAATATACATCTGCCCAAGAACTGGTCTGTGAATTACATTAGATTCTTAAAGGAATACATAGTCCAATAAAGTTAAAAATCACTGATCCTTAACATACAAAATTATTCCCTTTAAAAAAAAAAAATCAAGGACTGGGGATTTAGCTCAGTGGTTCTGCTGCCTGCCCTGCAAGTGCAAGGACTCGAGTTCGAGCCCTGGTACCAAAAAAAAAAAAAATCAGTAATCTCTAACATCTAATACACTACCCTCAATCAACTTAATGACCATACAGTCAATTTCTTCAATAAACGCATACATACCTAAGTGTGTTTTGTGAAATATAAACTTACTGCTCAAAATGATCAAGTAATCTCCCATCCTCAACTCAAAAATCCAATGATCCCTCAGTGCCAGTGAATAAATCTTACCCCCTGAGCTTGTGTTCCAGGCAGAGTAACAGGTCCTGAGACAGGAAGAGTGGGGAAATGGGTCCTACATGTAAAGGGGTACATCTTCTCTCAGTTTTCCTGGTGCAACCAGATTGTCATGGCTTGGTATGACTATGAATAGTGTCTCCTTTCAGTTTCAAAACTCTCCCATCTTGTACAATATATGTTCACCCTATTAATAAACCACACTGAGGGCTGGAGATGAGGCTCAGTGATTGAGTGCTTGCTTAGCATATGAGGTCCTGTTCAGTCCCTAGTACTGCCTAAATAAATAAATCACACTTAAGAACTGGTTTGTTATCCTTTGGGTGATGGGGTAGTGCTTTAATTTAAGGAAAGGAGTAGGGACAACATCACTTTTAAATTTTAGAAAAATCACTGTGTCTGAATCAAAGTGAGGGACTGGAGAAGTGCAAGCAAGTGGCAGGAATCAGTTGATACACAAAGGCCATAGCTTAGCTAGAAAGAATGGTATGCTGGATTGGGCGGTACCAGTGGAAATGGAGTGGAGGCCTGTTGGTTTAGTGACAGACGAACAGAATCAGAGATGGGGGAGGGCATTAAAGATAACTCCCACGTGTCCACCTCAGACAACTTCAAAGCTGATGATGCTATTCACTGAAATGGGGGCCGTGAGATTGACGGGAAGATGATGGGTTGAGTTTTAAGTGAGTCCAGCAGGCTGCAGTAGAACCGTTTGGGACCCTTCATTCCAGGAGCATTGATTGCCAGGCGCAGTGTTAGGTCCCGGGAATGCATGATCGCTGCACTCAAGGAATTGTCAGGGATGGGGAAAGGGTGTGCAGATCAAGCACACTAGTTAATACTACACAGGAGAAGTACAGGAAGTTTGGGGCGCGTGTAACTGGAGTGCTGGCCTCGTTTTGGTAATCTGGAACGATCTGCCTAAGAAAATGCCATCCAAGATGAGCCCGTTCACGTCACCCCGGCCTAGTCCTCTGGACAGTGCCCTCGGCCCTCCCCGCCCCTGCCGGGGCCCAGCCCCGCGGACCTGCCTGCCATCCCGCCGATGCTTCACGAGCGTCACCTCCCCGTAGCTGCCCCTTCCCACGACCCTCACGTAGCAGTAGGCGGCCAGGGGCATGTTCCTGGCGCGGGCCCACAGTCGGGATGCGGCTGCAGCGGCAGATAGGGTAGTAGGCTAGGGCAGTAGGCACCGCTCATGCCCGAGAGGCAGCCGTGGGTCCGGCCGTGTAGGCGGCCCGGCTGGAATAACAGAACCTAGAACCAGCCCACCGCGACGCCGCTGCCATAGGGATCTCCGCCGGGGAAGTTCTGCGCATGCTCGGGCATCCCCAGAGAAGCGGCCATAGAGCCGACGCTACAGCAGAGCAGCCAGAGCGGTTCCGCCGCCACGGGAGGACCTGCCATAGAGCCAGAGTGCTGGACAGCCAGAGCGACTCCGCCGGGTCCCGTGCACGTGTTTGCTGTTCGTTCAACAGTGCGGGTCGTCAGCGATAATAAAGACTGTCGAGGTTCTGCTCACTGCACTCTTAGTGGTTTTGAGCTCCTTAGGAGTGTGGGCCAGTAGTCGGGCGTGGTGGTGCACGCCTATAATCCCAGCACCCGGGAGGCTGAGGCTGGAGGATCGCCACGAGTTCGCAGTCAGCCTGGGCTACGTGGTGAGTTCAGGGCCAGCCTGAACTACAAAGCAAGACCCTGTCTTTGAAAAAAAAAAAAAAAAAGGTATGGACCAGTCACTGACATCCTGTTTGCCTGGCCCAGAAAGTTTCTGCCTTCCTGGAGCTCGCATTCTAATGATCGAGTGACGGATTCTAGCTCCACCAATAACATTTGATATATGTGCTTTTTCACATGCCTAACAATCTGCACCCAGCACAGTTCGTCTTAAATACATTGAAGATATCAGTAGTGCACTTCGTCCTAAAAACTTGAGCCTACTTGTGAGAACTCCAAAGAACTCTCAATACGGTATAATGACTTAAACCACTGCAGTGGTTTAGAGTCTTGAGCAGACTCTAGTCCAACTTCTAACAGTTTAAGACCAGACCTCCAGGAGGACCCAGGTTCGCCTTTAAAATGCTTGCCTGAGAAAGCTCATGGCTGGCAAAAGACTTTACCACTTATTCCAACACCTCCTTTTCCAATAGAATTTACTTTTTTAAAAGTGTATAATTATATATACTTTCTCTTGTTCCTTTGGATTATATATGTATGTATCTCCCACAGCCAGAAATGTTTCAAAACCAAAATCTCTTCCTTTGAAATGTAATCATCAGAACAGATTAGATCCCACCTTTATCTCCCAGTCTGTGTGGGAGGATAGAATCCTGACTTCTGTATGTACATGCAGGTTATATTGGAATATAGTTCAGCCTTGTAAAGGATTGAAATTCTGACATTCGATCACATGGACAAAACTTCCATAACTGCCAACTAGCAAACACAGTTGGTTTAATTACATTTACACTGACCAACCCTTTAATTACAGGTGTGCACCACCACGCCCTGCTATATAACACATCTTTTTTTTTTTTTTTTTTGTAACGGGGATTGAACTCAGGTCCTTGCGCTTGCGCCACAGGCAGCAAAACCACTGAGCTAAATCCTCGACCCCCTCATTGTTCCTTTAAAATGCCCATTCACATCTACACAAATTGGAATTGAGCTCAACTTTTTTCCCCTACTGTCGGTAGTTGCTGAATAAAAGTCTGTTGGGCTGGGGATTAGCTCAGTGGTTCCGCCGCCTGCCCCACAAGCACAAGGACCCGAGTTTGATCCCCAGTACAAAAAAAAAATCTGTTTTCCTCTAATTTGGCTAATGCTTGGTTTTGTTCATCTTTAACAATAGCATTAAGTAGAATTCAGTATTTATTTGTAGTTCCTTTTGTTTGGTTTTCTTGTATAGCTGAAATTTTCATTGCAGACAGAATGTACAAATCCTAAATATACAGTTAGATAATTCAAACAAATACCTTTACCCAAATTTATCAAGATATAGACCAAGGATATGGAAAAATGAGAACCCTTATGCATTGCTTATGGGAATATAAAATGATTCAGCTTGCTGGGAAAAATTGTACCGTGGTTCCTCAAAAAAAAATTACACATAGAATTATCATATTATCCAGGAATTTCACCTCTGGGTAGAGACCCAAAAGAATAGAAAGCAACGACTTAAACAGGTACTTGTACACCTATGTTCATAGGAACATTATTCACCCTAGGCAAAGGTAGAAGCAACCTAAATGCCCACCATTGGATGCATGGATAAACAAACTGTGGTATATACATACATTTGAATATTATTCCACCTTATAAAGGAAAGAAATTTTGACATTCTCCAACTTGGATGAACTTTGAGGACATTATGCTAAGTGAAATAAGGTAATCACAAAAGAACAAACATTGTATGATTTCCCTTATGTATCTAGAGTAGGCAGATTCACAGAAACAAAGTGGAATGGTGTTAATGGTTGGGGAGAGGAGGAAATCGGGAGTTAGTGTTTAAAGGTTACAGAACTTTACTTGGGGAAACATGAAACAATTCTGAAGATGGGTGGTGATGATTCCACAACAGTGTGAATGTACTTATGTCACTAAATTGCATGTTTAAAATGGTTAAAGTCAAGCGAGGCATGGTGGCACGTGCCTCTAATCCCAGCACTGAGGGAGGTTGAGGCGTGAAGATCGAAGCCAGACTGGACTACATGGCAAGACCTTGTATCAAACAAACAAACAAGAAAACAAACAAAAGTTATTGAAGGGAAACTTTATATTTTGTACATTTTCACAATTAAAATGTTATTTAAAATTTTTAAAAATATGGAGTCGCATTTTTTTCAAACCTTATATGGCTACTTTATTGTTATTGATGATAGTGGTTTTTTTTCTTGGTACCGGAGATTGAACTCGGGTCCTTGTGCTTGTGCAGCAGGCAGCGAAACCACTGAGCTAAATCCCCAGCCCGATAATAGTGTTTTTAAAATTAATTTTATTAGTACATATTAGGTATACAATATAATGACATTCATCATTGGAAATTTGCACCTTTACATAATCTCTCTTGGTTCTTATTTTTTCCCCATTCC